GGTAAAGTTTAAGAGATTTTGAAGAGTTGTCATATATTATTTCATTAAGTAGTATATGTATATGTGTGTGTGTGTGTGTGTGTGTGTATATATATATTTTTTTTTTTTGGAGATGAATTTTGCTCTTTTTGCCCAGGCTGGAGTGCAATGGCACGATCTCAGCTCACTGCAACCTCCGCCTCCCAGGTTCAAGTGATTCTCCTGCCTCAGCCTCCCAAGTAGCTGAGATTACAGGTGCCTGCCACTACACCCAGCTAATTTTTTATAGTTTTAGTAGAGATGGGGTTTCACCATGTTGGCCAGGATGATCTTGATTTCTTGACTTCGTGATCCACCCACCTCAGCCTCCCAAAGTGCTGGGATTACAGGCATTAGGCACCGCGCCCGGTCAGTAGTTTATATTTTTATTCCACCAGTTCTTATTCTTTAAAGGGAAGAAGGATTAAATAAGCCCTCATTGTTACATTACATTAGAATCTTTGAATTGCTGCTATAGCTATATAATGGTGTGGAAAGTAGTAAACCCATTTTTCTCAACTTACAGGAAAGTACAAACTAAAAATGAGTGAATTAATTAATGCACAAATAAGTCATTAGAACTGCCAGCGGAGTCCTCCAGTCAACTCCCCCAACACATACTCAAAGACAGAACCATCCCTGAGTGCACAGGTATTTGGCACTGCCAGAACCCCTGAGCACCAAGTGTGACAAGAAAGGGCCACCATTTCTTTGTTTTTTTTTTTCTTTTTGTAGAAGGAAACACACACTACCAGAAAAAAGGGGCTCCATTTTGATATCCCTCCATCTCTGACCTTGTTTTGGTAACTTTGTTTCTGTACCAGATCCACACTCAATTAACCTGTCTGGTTTAGGGTATTTTGGCTTCATAGAGCAATAGTATCAATACAATTTTGCTGTTTTATTATACATTTATCAAACAGTTCACTATCTGGTCTTTTGGCCAGAATTTCTTGGCCTCTTCTCAGAGCTCTGTCTCAATACGTCTTTTGATAACTGTTTTCCAGCATAGTGTTCATTTCAATTTTAGAATATGATGTTGATAAATTTACCAACTTCCAGTCGAGGATGAATAGCTTACAGTGTTTGTGGCAATATTGGATGTATTTATTTTCAGGGGAATGATTTTTAACAGTGCATGTTCTTATTTGTTTTTCACAATCCAGTTCCAGCATCTGAGAAACTTTGCTTTGATGGTTGACTCCCATTAGGGAAACACTGGAAACAATTATCTCGTAGTGGTCTCAATTCTTGCTGACAGCTTTGCATTTCCACCGTGCAAGACCACTGGGTCATACCACTTGTTTCTCCCTCCACGTCCTCCAGTGATCTCTTGAAAGAACCCACTTTATACCTCATTGTTACCTTCCCTCTACTTTTTCTTATTATTCAATTCAATTCAACAACATGTATTAAATACTTACAATATGCTACCCAGGTAGAAGAAGTCAACGTATAGACAGGGCATGTCATTGAATAGTGATAAGAACTGATGGGGTAAGTACCTAGGGAACACACACTTAGATTGGATGTGGGGCTGAACCAGCATATTTAAATTTGTGTAAAAACTGAGGAACACCCTGAGAAAGACTTTTATTGTTGGACATAATTCTCTAGTCCTGAAGTTATCATCCAAGGGAGTTCAAGAACTCACCCCTTAAGTGGACTGGGCAAGCTGGCCATTTACCACTTGTCACAGTTAGAATTAGGATCTTGACTTTCATAGCATCCTTTTGTGTCACAGAGTGGGAGGAAAACATCAGTAACAGCTCCATAGGACCACCAGTGGAGGCAAATTGAATTTGGGATATATTATATCAAATCTGTTAAAGGGGGAAAAAAAAAGAAAGAAAAGGAGGGGAGGGAAGGAAGGAAAGAAAAAAGAAAAGAAAAAAACCCAAAAGAATTCATTATATAACCATTATATGTTAATGGTAAAGTTTAAGAGATTTTGAAGAGTTGTCATATATTATTTCATTAAGTAGTATATGTATATGTGTGTGTGTGTGTGTGTGTGTGTATATATATATTTTTTTTTTTTGGAGATGAATTTTGCTCTTTTTCTCTTGTTCTTGTACTGATTGGGTGAGAGAGAAATAAACTCTCTTGTTTTGAGCTGCTGTAGCCTTGTGGCCTTTTCTGTTTACCAAGCTACCTGCACCACGCACACAAAGGGAGAGAATCAGCTGCTCATAGAGGTAAACGCAACGGTGAGAACAGAGCAGTGCAGGGAAGAAAAGATATGGAAAGGTAACGCTAATCATGAGACCAGGCTCTGGGCTTGGGCACACCTATGGCAGTCTTTTATCGATCTTGAGAAATCCCCCTTTCTCACTGTGTTGTTAGGAAGAGGGAGGTGTGTTCCAACAATAGAGGAGAAACAATAGTGTGGAAATTGGGATGTGTGTACATATTGGTGTAGGTTTAGAGTGTGCTTTGCTTAAGGATCTTGATAACATCATCCTCTTGGACCATCAAAATTTGAACTACAATTGACACGATAACAAAAAGAAGCAGCAGGAGGAGAATGTAGAACATTCCTTCACCTTCTGATAAAGGCATTGAGGACCAGAAGTGAGTGAAAAGACCACATGGGTCTTTTTGTAAATACCTGGGGCCATTGAGTTCGATCTGACTTATCATGCAGGCTCGCAGGAGCAACAAGAGACCCCCGTGCTCGCCAGAGAGTGCCCCGGGACCAAGGATCAAGTCCACATGCCTGTGGGGCACAGCCCCACCCTTGGGAAGAAAGAAGGAGGGGGCAGAGTACATACGCCAGGAAGCCGGACTGGTGCGTCATCCCAGGTCTGCGGAGATGTGGGCTGGGGTGGGAGAACCACAGCTCTGCACCAGTAAGCTCCATCCTGGAAGGAAGGAACTTCCAGGAAAGTGGGAATGAGCTGTTCCCTGCCAATGACTGACTTTGGAGGCTCCTGCAGGCCACCTGGGAAGGGCCCCTTCGGATTCCATCGTCTCCATAAGCCCCTAGAATGGTATCAGGACTGAATAATCTCTATTATGGGACAGGACCTACTGCTTATGCCCTCCCAGGGCCGTTGTTCACCAGAGATCCT